TCTCAATGACAAATGAAACTAAAGAAGAAAAACTCTATGGTTGTTTATCTTGTCGCATACTAGTTGTCCCTTAATGGTCAACCTGCTGCTATGTTGTGGATATGGTAGTAGGTTTAACTTGTTATTCACAAATATTTCTTATGCTTCTTTTTTCCTTAGTAGTGAGTGTCAGCTCAAATTTCTTTTCTTCAAAATCATGTCTAATCTATCCTTCATGCTGCAGTTATATGGGTTTTATTTTTCTGGCTCAATACCTATTGGCAGCATAATTGGTCCAAAAGATTTGGCCTCTTTTAGGCCAACGGCCCTGATCATCGTGTAGGGACCACAAGTGGACCATGTCCACAGTTCCGTATTGCTCACTCGCTTTTTAAAATTCTTCTAGTGGCTTGATTTATTGCCTTTACCTAGTGGGATCAATTTGTGCAAAAGTGTTCGTCCTAAGCCTGCAACCAGTGGCTTGGGTGGGGTGGGGGACTCCCTGTTTTCATTCCTTGAATGTTTATTCGGAAGATTTTCCCTTACTCTGCTGCTTAAAAACTAGTTCATTTACGTTGCTGTTGCTTGTTCCTAATGCACATCATTAACACTCTCTTAGGTCGGAGATGCTGGACAGGAATGCAAATCGGAATCGCAAAATAGTTCTACTCCAGCTGCCAATACTTGGACAAATGTTAGAATAACTGAACCAGTGCCAATGGAATGTGGTTCTTTAGTTGATAGACAGAGGCCATCCCGTTCTGTTGATGAAGCTCCAGGCTGTATGCAGGAGAAAGCTTCTATGGGCAGCACGGAGAAGGGCTTCGGTAGCACAAATGGTAGGAAATTCGAGATAAATCTGGAGGATGAGTATAAGGATGAAGAAGCATCTGAAACGAGCGGAAGTGCAACTACTGAACCAACACGGAAGGTGCTTAATAGTGATATGCTGAACCACCTTAAACGTCCACGTTCCGTGGAGACAGTGATGCAATCTGTCGACTCTGGAGTTAATCTGGCAACCCGAAGTTTTAATGATAATGACATTGTAGTTGAAAAGGCACCCTACGACAAAAAATTGAAGACTAGTATTGGTGGATCATATGGTAATAGCGAGCAAACTAGTTGTTCCAGTGATGATTTTTTGTCACGGATGCATGGTTCCTCTTATGGACCCTATCTTCCGGATACAGGGTGTGATGAAGCTCTGAGTAAAGCAGCTATCCCGGAGTGCTCAGGGAGTGCTGCAAGATATTTCTTCCCTGTCGATCCACATCCTGTTGAGGCTAGCTCAGCGCCTTGGCAAATGCACCATTCAGATAATGATCGGCTTAGTGATAGAGTCCCTAATCTCGAGCTAGCGTTAGGTGGTGAGTCAAATTCGCTGACACAGGGAATCCCACCCTTTTTAGTTGGGAAAGTAGACAAGAAAATCATTCAAGACCAAGCTGCTGAGACACATTTGCTGACTCAGGGAATCCCACCCTTTTTAATTGGGAAAGTAGACAAGAGAGTCATCCAGGAACCTTCTTCAGCTAAGGAAGCAATTAGAGTGGAGGAGGTGGAGGATGTCTCTGCTTCTCTCTCCCTTTCTCTTTCATTTCCTTTCCCGGAAAAGGAACAGCAGAAAGGTTCTGTTTCACAAAAAGAGCAGGCAATGCCTGAAACAAGACGCGGTAATACACCTCTGCTTTTCTTTGGGGGGCTCGGCAACAAGTAGGGTGAGATTACCAATAACGGTGTACATTACAGTTATTCACATGGATGCGGTAGGTTTACAACATGTTCATAAGGATACAGGGTTTATAATTTTGTTAGGTGTTTCTGGTCTCAATTTTTATTTAGCTTGCAAGTGCAGAGTGACGGCTCTTTGTAAATATAAAGAGGATATTAGCCGTTATGGGCTCTAGTACCATAGAAAAGTTTAACATTTCTGCGCTGCTTCAGTGTTATTCCTTTTAATTATGAATCATCTCCCAGTGACCTCCTTTATGAATAAACGCAGTTTCTGGCATTCTGATGAGGATTTTGCACCTAATGAACTGTTGCAAGTGGGTTTAGATGCTTTGAGACATTCAGCGAGGGTGCAAATTGTGATAATCCAAATGTTTGTGGGGATAGGTAATGGTAGAGTTAACAGAAAAAGGTTGTATTGCTTAATTGTTGATTATGAGCGCTCCTAGTGATTCAGTGTTGGTTATTCTGTCGAACTAACACAGGGTTGCACTATTGTCAGCTACTGTAGTTTAATTTATCATTTATCGTAACACTGAAATTATAGACGGAAGAAATGAAACGTCCTTACATATATTGTTACCTTTAATTCCAGTAACATGGCTCTCATTCATATTACTATAAGACTACATTATTCCTTATTGAGGCAACAATGGCAGATGACGTGTATTGATTTTGGGCTGAACAATGTAATTTCTAGCTCACACAATGAAATTTGAGATTACGCCGTCTCAAAATCTTCGACAATTGAAATGAAATTGAAAACAAAAAGTGTGGAAAACGTCGTTTTTAAAAATAAAAAAAAACATTTGCCTGTATTCTCACGAAGATATTGGGACCAAAAAAGAGAGAAAAAGGAAGAAGGATTAGTCAAGTACTCAAAGTCATACGAATTTAACATTCTATTTTCTAGAATTTTCATGGATGAAAAATGCGGTTAATTTCATCAATGATTATTATAATAGCAAAATCAAAAAGTCATTTTTTTGTCACATTAAATAAATTGAACTTAATTGTAAAATCACTACTAATTTTTGTCAATTCAAAGTAATTGAATTATGTGAGCGTTTTAAAAGCATAAATGATCAAAAGGTCAAATTTCTAGCTTAAAAAATACAACTGACTGACAATAAAAGAAATACACATGTAAAATTGTTTGACTACCCATATTTTACGAACTAACAGTATCTAAACGAAACCAAAAAAGGAGAAAATTATTCAATTCGAGTTGGTCTTGAAACAATTCATTGCATTTTCCACTTCAGTCGTGCTCGTCCTTTCTCGAAAGTATCTATCTATCATCAAATATTGGATTTTCCAGTAAATTTATTTGCTAAATGATTAGACATAGTTATTACAGTGAATAAAGTATAATTTCATTAATGTGATAGCAAATCGTGACTTTAGTATTATTGTAAGAAAAGTTCTATGGCTGCACGTGAATTAACTGCAAAAAATGTTATAGCGTTCAAAATTGGATGGTCAGGTACTCAGGTTCTCGTACTTTAAAGTTGGTCCCTCTTTTTGAGTCAGAAATTCTTTTACAATATTTTGTTGCCTTTTCCTCGAATATAGAAGCAAAACGCACATTAAAAAGATGTATGCATATAAACTATCCTATTCCAATTTTGTTTGGAATTAGCGCTTGGTATTGTCGTACACGTATTAACTACAGGGCTGATTGAAAAATGGAGTGTTCAACAATAAGCCTGCTCTCCTTGTCAGAGAATTTAAAATTTATGGGTTCAAAAATCTAATCTGTTTAAGTTATAGAGTTCTAAATTACTCCCTCCGGTCTAAAATAAGTGATTTTTTTGGTTGTTTTAACACATATTAAGAAATTCACCTTTTAACATTAATTAGCAATGAAATTGACCATATTAACCTTTACTATCTTTCTCATAAACACTCCTAACACATACTCCAACATTATTTACTCCAAGGGCGATATAGGAAAAAAATAATTAATTTAGTATTAAAATCTGAAAAAATTACTTATTTTGGACCACAAAAAAGGACCAACAAATCACTTATTATGGACCTGAGGGAGTAATCAACTGCATATATTTAATGTTTCTTAAGACAAATTAATGAGTTGGATGGGTTCGGCCAGAGGCGGATTTAGGATTTCTAGTAAGTGAATGCACTATTAAAAAAATTAGGAAACAATGTATTAAGTGAGAATTGATTCCTATTCCTCTTAATAATCAATTCAACCTTCAACCAAGTTCACCATTTAACCTTTTTGAAACATGAGTGTCAACAATTAATATTATACCAATTTTAGAAAAAATGTACATAAAATATTTAATTTTGCGGAGAAAGCATAATTTCACGTGCCTCATATTTTTGCCTATAAATTCATCCCTGAGTTCGGCCGAACCCGTAGTTCGTGCTCTGACTCCGCCCCTGATCCTAGCTTTATTTTCTTCACTTGATGGTGAAGATGTAGGCGATATGAACTATGTTCACTTTTCTATTTTATTTTTTTTATTAAAAAGGGAACCTAACTAAAAGCCAGGGCATAGGTCATAAACTCATAATCATAAATAAAGAAGGGAAAAATAACTATTGCTCCGTGGCCAATTTGATGGGAATTTCTTATGATTAAATTCACCCGATTGACTAGTTCTTGTAATAATATATGATTATTAATAATAGTGGCAACATGATATTGCTGTCCTATATTCTTCCTATCCTAATTGCATATTCTAGCATTGGCCTTTGCCTGTTGTATCTTTTGGTGTTCCATTTTCTTTTTTAAGCAAAAGATATAATAACAATTATGCCTTAATCTCAAATAAATAGATCGACTACATAAATCCTCATTTCTTATCATTTAAGCTCAAATTATCATCATCATATTAAATTTCTAGGTAAAAAATAAAAACTAAAAATATTGAATTGATTAATGTTTGAAAGTGTTGAAATTAGTCCTTAGGTGATATAGTACTCGAGTTTATTCCCTTACACTTTCTCATACTTCGAGTATGAGAAAAATTAGCATATTACTAGTAGTAGTTTTGCAAGAATAAAACAAAAAAGTTAAAACCATATAATCAAATTTGGAGCTTTTACATATTTTCTGAGAAAAATTTTCTTATCCAATTCCTCTATTTTTGTTGTTATTATCTTATTTTTAATGGACACAATTCCTTAGTTTTTATCTGTAATTTTGAAAATGGCTTATTTGGATTGCTTTGCCTCATATAATCAGCTATTATCTACTTCTTTTTTATTTTATTTTAAATAAAATAAAATAAAGAAACAGTTTTAACTATCTCTCTAAATAGAAAAAAAAACAAAATCTTCATTTCTTCGCTCTTTGCATCTGTTTACTGTTCAGTCTCGTCTCTCCTTTTTTCCTCTAATGGCGACCGGCGCTGCCTCATTTTCGTTGTTAGGTACCACCCGCTCGACTTTTCTTCTCCCTTTCTAGTTTTATTTGCCGTTGCTAATATTACGGAAATTATGATACTTTTTTTTTGTCTGGTTTCTTTCGGATAAGATTTCAGAATGGGCGGTTGTAGCTTTGAATCAAACAATAAGGAATGAATCTATAATTATGACCTTACCTGTCTCTGAAATCTCTATTTTATTGTGTGGATCTTTCGCTGTGATTAAAAACTGTCATTATTTCTGATCAGTTGTAGGGATTTTTTCCTTCAGATTGTGTTTCGCTTTACATTATTTCCTGATTCGTGCAATTCGATTAGCTCTAGAGTCTTCATGTAACTTGCCTTGCGGAGTTCATTGCGAAACTTATATTCTCATATTACTGAAAAATAGTTGATGTGTTAGTTGTGCAAATGCATTAGAGAACACTCCATCTGACCAGTGACACACCTCTATTTTATTATCTGTCCTTTCTATGTTCCTTGGTTTTGTTTCTGGAGTTTACAAGCTTTAATTAGAGCTAAGCATTACTTCATTAAAAAATAAAAGCTTTAATTAGAGCTAAAGGAATGAAAGTTTAACTCTATAAGGTTCAGAATCATAAATTTAGGGTTTCTGTTTAGGACAAATGGAGATGTTTGAGTGTTGATTCTCATGAGAATCTAGTGATTTTGCTCCTTCAAAGTTATGTTCTCTTGGCGTCATGCCCTCTCCTTGTACTTTTAAATTGCATCTTTGGAGTTTCCAGAAATGGAAAGAATATCAGAATTCTTTGTTAAATATCCTTTTCTGGTAGTACTGTATGATTGAAGAGAATGCCAAGCATCTTTTGTCGAATTGGTGAAGTGATAGTATATTAACGTGGCAACGAATCTCTGACTGTGCTAGGGATTTTGTTTACCTTTTTTTGTTGTTTGGATCTATATTGGGAGTTTCCATTTGAGGTAATTTTCTGTTTCCTTCTAAATTAGGTGCAACTCATGTCAAAGCATGCGAAGCTTGGTCTGGAAAGTCCTCCTCATTTGTCAAGACACCTATGGTGGCTATTCAAAGGAAATCAAACTCTCAGGGAACAAATGCTGCCAAGTTGTCTATTCGTTCAGACTACAGGTATTCCATTTTTGTATGCTTATACCCTGCTCACTACTTATTGAATAACAAATCCGTTGATGATTATTTTCAATGAATTGAGATGATTTATTCTTAATCTGGTTAATGCATAGTTATTTGCTTGGTCTGCGGATTGATAAGGCGAAACATAGTTAATGGCCGTTACTCTTTTCATAAAGAAGAAGAACAATTGGCTAGGAAGGTTTTTTTCAATTCTTCTGCTATAACATCTGGTTATGAGTATGATGGAGTCCCCAGAGCTGGATGTGCTTATGCTAAAAGTAAATGGATGTCTCCTTCCTTTCAAGGGGGCTTTCTTGTACTTGTATAACTTTGCAGATTCTTTTGGTGCCCTGAATTATGGCCATATAGATCTAATTTGACTGTTTTAAGTTGGGGCTCTTCTCGCCATGTTCTCTTTAAGTTTGCATTTCCTTAAAGATGGAGGGAAGCATCTGGGGCCTTCCGTTTTCTGCTGGAGTTGTAATTGTGTCACTTACTTTCATATTATTCCGTAGATAGAAAGACCTGTTTACCACAAATCTAATTACCTGGCACCAGAATTTTAATCCACCTCTAGATTGTTTACCTCAGAAGTCAAAGTTTATTAGCACATTCATATTCGCAAAGTGACAAAGAGTGATGTAACTTTCTTTTTGTTTCGATATAATACAAACTCCTTTTTCTTTTTCCCATCCAAGCATAGTTGGTAGAGCTTTCTGGGCTCTTAAATTTTTGGTGTCTCCACCTTGCACATCTTTTTCTCCAGCTATCCATTTTATTGTTACTGTATTCGAACTTCTGTTAATGTTCTCACCAGTCCTTTTGCTTCCTCCTTATGGAAAAGCCACGATACTTGAGCATTTGGATTTCTTCTACTCGGTAATTCTTCCTCATTACTTGCTATTACACTGTTCGTGTCAGCAGGTGCGATAAGCTCTTTGGATAGAATTGTGTACGTTCTTGACAAATCAGTTCCTTTCCTTTTTTTTAATTCTAGGTTCTAGTTCTGAAAGGATAAGTCTATACCATCAGCATTTGATGCCTCTCTCAACTGCTCACCCTAACTGGGAATCAGAACAAATTCCTAACTGGAATGGTGCAGTTCTCTTTTTCTCTGCATTCTGCAGAGGTCACTTTCCATCTTTCGTGATTGCAGAACTTCTGGTTGAATTGTTCCCTCTTATATCTGCCTTTAATGGACTCACATGATAGAAAGCAGTGGGCGGCCTTTCTGAAAATATATAGGTGGTTCCACATTAAATGCCAATTTAACAGATCACGATCTGTCTCAGATTTTTGCAGCATTGATTGCTTTTACATACCTCAAATGGATAATGGAGAAAAGATTCTTTCAAGCACATAATGTGAATAAGTCTCTCTGTGTTGGTTTTCTAGCAGTATGCTTCAATCTTTAATCATGGCCGGACCTTCCTGGTACCTTTAGAAGTTGAATGAGTTAAGGCCTTTCCTTAGGTATGCTTACTTATATTAAAGTAACCAAGTGATGAATTAATTGCATAGGTCCAATAACAACCCAAATCCTTTTCAGCTGGAGAGTGAAATAAATATGTCCCATTAATCTTTACTGTACTAAAATTTGAAATCTGTTTTCTCTCAGTTTAAGGATAATCAGATGGTCCTTACAAAAACAACAATTTCGGGAACACAATTTGATGCATGGCCCATTGTTATCCAGCATCCAAAGTAAATGCTTTGACTGACCCATCTTTTGAGATCAGAAAGCTTCTCTCTGTGCCTGTGGAACCAAAGGAACTTTCAATTTCTGAATCACTTTATTAACCAAAGGAACTTTTATATGAGTAGTGCAGCTCTAATGCATCTGCAATTCTACATAAGTGTCGTGCTTTTGTTTATTCTTTTTACAGGATTAATTATTTTCATCATGGTTGTTGTTTCTATTATTATTTGCATTAGAAGGAAAATGGAACTCTTTTTCAACGTTGATATCACTCCAAAATCTTATTGGACCTTGTTTAAGCTGGCATCCTGGTTCAGAAAGAAAAGGAAGCCGAGCTTGTTACATATGAAAAGCATAACTTTCCAACAGTAATTGTTTGTGAATTGTGATTATGCATAACATATCCTATCCATCGGGGTCATGTCCTCAACATCGTTAGGCCCACTCGAAGTATCAATCATTTTCTTCAATGGAAGCTTTTCTCTTGTGCCCTCATTTTCGAATTAATTAGCCAAGAGGGACAGTAGTTTCATTCACATATATGCTACCTTGAGGACAAATATTTGCTATATACGTTCACGGTTCAACTGTGAGATCATTATGAAATGATGTAAGACATTAGCCAGAGACCATAATAAAAGAAAAAGAAACAAAATGGGGTAGACAATCACACATGACACAATAACTAAAAACCTACCAACAGCAATTGTTGAAGTAACACAAGATCCATATAATGGCATAGGAGACTTTGTGAAACAACAATTCTAGACCTGTTTGATTGAAGTTTCCATGGCTTCTGAATTTGCGTGGAGCTATCAAGTCCAGGTAGATTTCTTATCCTTTAATCAAAATTTGAATCAATTAACTGGAGATGGTAGATGATGATGACTGATACATTGGGAGAGATAAGAGCTCTTGAAGGTGCGACCTGAGATAGAGGGCAAGAGGTAGAAGCTGATGATTTGGAAACTTTCCTTGGTGGCTGAACTTCTACTCGGGATTCTCCAAATTTATTCCTGTCACTTTTTAGGTAAAGAATGCTGGAATGTTGTGTTGCTTTAGACATTTAGGAGACACCATGGAAGTTACTATTATTGCTAGGGCTCTATTACTCTAGATAAAGATAAAGAAGCAATATCACATCAGAAGTTACATTTAGAAGCTTACTTTTCACTGGGGATTTTTTTGTGAAAGTATCAAGTTTCTACTTATTTCCAGTCGAAGTAGAGAAAATTGCTTCATCCCTATTCTTTTTATTTTTTTCTATTGTTCTTCTGAATTCATCTGTAGCCTATTAGCTTATGACGCACTTCAGAAAAACAGAAAGAAAGAAAGAAACTATAGTTTTTATGATCCCCGATTTTGTGAGTGGGTTAACTAGGTAAGGAAGTAGTGAGGGTACATTTCCTGTTTAGATTGGAAATGACATATACAGCCTATCAGCACATGATATTGCTGAGTCATTTTCCTTCAATGCCTTTTAGTTACTTATCCAATCATATGAATGGGTTACAATTTCTGAATTATCACCTATCCGTCCATGTATGCTTGATTTGTATTTTCAATTGTGCCTGTTGCATGCAGTGATCGAAGAGGTGGAGGTGGCGGCGGTGGTGATTTTGTTGCTGGTTTGCTTTTGGGAGGTGCAATATTTGGAACGCTTGGCTATATATTTGCTCCACAGGTAATTATAGTGTTGTCTCTTGGTATCAAGTTGATGTTTGATTCCATAACACTGATGTGCTTATTAGGTATGGTACATGTTGTTGACTGACTTGTTTCCTGCTGAGTATGTGCGCTCATACTAGGATTTCTGTGATTTTTTTTGGTAATGAAGCATGTAGCAGCTATTGTTTTGAGCAGGATATGGTTAATTGTCTTTCAATAAAACCACATACAAGCTTCAGGAAGGTGCATATGATGCAATATCTTTTTGGTCTATCATCTCTGGTTAGCAGACCATATTCAGGCTAGATTTTAAAATAGAATAAAGCTGATGAGTTTCTTAGTATATGGAGTCATGTCTGTAGATAATATTCATTGTTTGCTCCTTTTTTTTGGGGGGGGGGGGGGGGTAAGTCTTTCTATTTCTTGTTGGACTTGAGTTATGCTTTATTTATGTGATTGTCTACTCAGTAATATAATATGTGCAATCACAGGAGATGTGTCTTTGTTAGCAGCATCAGAGTATGCGGCATGGATGGCTCTTCATCTTCTTCTTCATTTTCTTTTTCCAAAGCCTTTCTCTTTTTGAAATAAGTATGTGGAATCTGCAATATTCCAGTTTGTTAGTGAAGTGATTCGTCTCTTATTTAGCAGTTTTTAAACAAATTAAAGATCAGTAAGTTTATATCTTCAAGACTGAGTTGGCAGCCAGGAATTGGAGGAAGAGAGAAATTTCTCCATTTTGAAACACTTGGTTGAGTGTTTTCATCATCATTTTGATGTCTTTCCTGAATTTAGAAGGCTAGAACACCTAAATTTATTAGGATATGAGCTAAAAAGAAAGATTGCATGGCACTGATTGATGAGCATTGACCTTGAACTCTCCAGTTTTCATCTCTAAATGCCCATTGAATTTAATGAATAAGAAAATCAGCAAGTTTATCATGTAATTGTGTCTTAATATATTTACTAGGCATCAATCTTAATGTGTATTGGAATGTGCATTTAAACTGCTAAAATAGGATGTTGGAGGACATCAAGGAGGATTTGTTGTGATTGCAAAGGAGATAAAAATAATCTGCCTCTATAAGCAGCTCTCTGCAATGGGTACCAATATTTTTAAGACCAACCTAAATTTCTCCTTTTCAGTAAAGAAATTATCGCTAATTCATAGAGTCCTAGAGTCAAAGCTACTATTTCGTTGATGCAGTATTGCCCTTTTTGGAAAGCTAATTTTTAACTTTACTAAACACCTTATTTGGATTTACCTGTTGTAAGGGGTTCTTATGAAGTACGAGTTTTCTGAATTGTGAAGACGGCTTACATGTATGATCACGTGTAGTACTATTATATATATATGTTTGACACTTTTTTGTTTCTCGTCACCCTTTCTTTATTACCTTAAAGATGCAACTGTATGAAATGAATATTTCTTCATTTTCCTCAAGTGTTCCTGTATTTTGTTTGCTTATATAGTTTTCTGTTTTCTTTTCACTGACTTCTGATATTAGATACGGAGGTCATTGCTCAATGAAGATGAATATGGTTTTCGGAGAGCCAAGCGACCAATATACCATTATGATGAAGGTTTAGAGGTGATATTAATACTTCTTTGCATTATTATGTCTTTTTTATGTATATGCTTGTAGGCTTACATTCTGTATCCGAGTAGCACTTTTCTGCTAAATTGGCTGGTAGGGTTATAATTTTGTTCTAATTACTTGTATGCAGAAAACTAGGCAGACTTTGAACAAAAAGCTAGATCAACTGAATAGTGCCATTGACAAAGTATCTTCGCGGTTGAGAGGTGGTAACAAAATGCCTCCAGTGCCTGTTGAGACTGATCCAGAAGAAGCTACTATGTGAGAACTGGTTTTATTTTCCCCCTATTAATCATAGGATTATACAGAGGTGGAAATACGGGGCTACTGAAATTATGTGGTATATCTTAAACGGATCTTGAATTTTCCAGTCTTACCAGACTTTTATCGTCGTTTTGAATCTTTTGGGAGGTTTGATTGTGGAACATTAAAGAAAGAAAACAGAGCATAAATTTCCAGAGCTGATGAAGTTGGAAAAAAGAGAAAAAAGGATTTGAAATTGAAGTTTAAAATGGATATTTGGAAGTTGAAAATTGTGGTTGCAGATCATTATTTCACTTGAAATAGTTCTCAACCTCAAGTCCGTATTCCATTAATTCGCTAGCATTTCAAATACTGAACTTCGGTAATTGCTACTAATGCAAATAGCTAAACCAATATTTGCCATATTTAACATCCGATGCCCAAAGAATTAAAGCAAAATTACTCACTGGATATTACCCTTCAAAGCCAATGACGAGGCATTTGGTTGTGTTATTGAAACAATACAATAAGGACCAGAATATTTCTGTAGTCTCGGACCATAATGATCTCTGTGGACCATTAAATATCACGGGGTCAACATTATAATAGTCCAATATTTGGGGACTATGGAAGAAGTGATCCAAAGTGGATAGTTATCATTAGGGGTGTTCAAACCGAACCAAAAAATCGCACCAAACCGAAAAACCAAACCAAACCGATTAAAAAACCCGACTAGGTTTGGTATTGAATAAAAAAATCCGAACCAAACCGACATATAAATATATAAATTTTATTTATATTTTTAAGACTTTGTAGTGATTTTTCTTTAGAAAATGTAGAAATATTTGGGATCCTCTCATGTATTAACCTTGAAAGCGTAAATTAACGAAAAATTATTATTAGACGACTAAGAAAATAACTATCGTGTGTTACTAAAAAATTTCTCCCATTAGAATATTTTAATAGATCATATGTTTGTCAATTTTTTCCATATTTACTAAACATATATTCACTTATCAAAGCTTTATCTATAATTTTAATAACGTAAGATTGAAATAATATTCATGTAACAAAAAAACCCGAAAAACCCGACAAAACCGAACCAATCCAAACCGATATAATTGGTTTGATTTGGTTTTGATAAAAACCGAACCAACCCGATCCATGTACACCCCTAGTTATCATCAAGAAATATTTACCCTGCTGCCTGGAACAATACCTAAGCTTTCTCTCTGATATAAAACTTCAGTACATGTTTTTCCCATTCATATCGTATCGTTATTGAGGTGGGAAAAAATATATCGTCAAGTCGTCATTAAGGGTACTACAAACAATACAGTAACTATGTTTTAATTCCAAACAGGTTAGGCTTGATTATGAATACTTATTTTTTCCATTTAACTTAACTCATATCATCATCATGAAAGACACCTATTTCTTCCATTTAACTTAACTAATATCATCATCATTAAAGACACCGTTATTATATTATAGAAGTAATGATAAAGTCACATTTTTAAATTTTTTTGGTAAGTTCATATCATCATCACTAAAGATATTGTTAATACATCATAGGAGTAATAATAAAATCACATTTATAAAAAAAATTAGTAAGTGTTTTTGAAAACTTGCAGCCGCTGTCCTTCCAGTGCGCATTGAGTAGCCTGTTCATTGTGCTACATCAGAGGAGTAATGATAAAATCACATTTATATAAAAAGTTAGTAAGTTTTTTTGGAAACTCGCAGCCGCTATCCTTCCAGTGCGCATTGGGTAACCTGTTCACTGTGCAATACAACGAGCTCTGATTGAGGAGACCGCTGGTGAGGGGAGTCAATCTCAGGTTTCCCAAACCACTCACCCAACCAACTTAGCCCTATCTCGCACACAAAAAAAAAAAAAAAAAAGATCTATAATTATCAGTACACAAGGACCTTCCTATCCAATATTCAAGAATTAGAGACCAATTTGGCAATCTACCGAATACATTTTGGCATAAGTCTGTTCGGTTAAACTTGTACAGATATTAATCCTATCCGATGCCAAAGGGTTAAGCCGTCAATTGTTGTCAGCTTGTTCCTCCGTCTCTTTCCCTTTTCTCTCTGTGGCTTTCAAATTTCAACCATTATTTTTCACGAGGGGGAAAGATAATTTATAGTAGCAATTTGTTCCTCCCATTTTTATATGAAACGTTTGCAATATCTCCTATTTGATGTCCCATTTTCTGGATTAAAGTACGACACATCATTCCAAAATTTTACTGCTAATAAAGAGAAAGTTTGCTTTATTCTTAAGTAGGAGAGGCAAAGAACTTTTTGCAAACCATATGGAGGATGATAGAAAAACCACCTACAAGGTATCGAATCTATTTTACTCTCTTCATTTGCATTTTAGTTCACACTTTTCCCCTTTATTTTTTCCTATTTGTTGAGCAAAATGGTTCTAGATTTATAGAACAAGAATACAAATTGCATCAGAATTGCTAATAAAGTTGTCATCTTTTAGAACTGATCCATTTCCTTCAGACTGCTGTAGAAAAAAGAAGCAACAGAATGCTTTGACCTCTACTTAAACCCCATGGTTTCAATTTTAAGTTTGTTCCTTGTGGAATATCTTGGGTTTGCTGTACTCTTTTTAATTGAAAAAGAAAAAAAAAACCTTTGGTGTTATATTCACTCTGTTGAAAGCCACTCCTAGTTATCATCTTGAGTTTTGGGGGGGGGGGGGTTGAATTGATAATTCTTGGTAAAACGTTAACTCTTTACACTTCCCTCAACTAGAAAAAGGAAATTCTATGGTACTATTCATGTAACAAGGTTTCCCTCTCTAGAAATTAGAATCATTGCCCAGTTTCATAAGTGGCTAAGATTGTTGTAGAATTGGGATTCTTGTGTTCATCCTTTGGCATATAGGAGAATGGGAGCCTTGTAGCAACTATCAAGTTGTCTCCGTGTGACCTAGGTCACGGGTTCGAGCCATGGAATCAGCCACTGATGCGTGCGTAGACCGCCTACATCACACCCTCTTGGGTGTGACCTTTCTCCGGACCTGCGTGAACGCGGGATGCTTTGTGCACCGGGTTGCCATGCCTTTGGCATATATGAGGCGGCTAGTATATCTTTTCGGTTGTAAGGAAATTCTTATCATTCCGATACTTTCATTTAGCTGTAAAGGATCATAGATTGTCATTTGGTTTCCTAATCTTCATGATCTCATGACAAAATCTCTTTTGATTGTTTAAGGATTATTACAAGGTTCTTGAAGTGGAGTATGATGCATCCGATGAGACGATCAGATTAAACTATAGAAAGCTTGCACTGGTTAGTCATCCATATTTCATCAAGCAGCACCAGCTACACAGCTCCAGCTCCTTCTCTATTTTGGAGTTCTCTCTCTGTCTCTTCCTCTCTTTGTCTACAGCATGCATCTTTTTAAGGCAGTATGTTCCTGATTGCAGTCATATCATTCATATTGATTGAAATCGCAGAAGTGGCATCCGGACAAACACAAGTGTAATGATGCAGTAACCGCTAAATTTCAAGAGATTAATGAAGCTTATACGGGTAGTTATTTTGGTTTTGGGCGAAATATTTTCATATATAATCGGTGCTACTTGATGCAGATAATTGCTATTTGTCCTGCATGATTTAGTTAGAACGTAATATAATCTCTCTACATTTTTACCACTAATACCAAGTGATGTCTTATTATGCTTAAATGTCAAGAGAAACAACAGTTAATATCTTGTTGGTTGGGCTCTATATTAAATGTATTGCCAGCATCAAATTGTCCCAAGAAATTTTTCGTAGTCTATATCTGTTGTTTATGACAAGGTACCTAGGAAGGTTCTTTGGAGATGCCTGGAGGCAAAAGGCATGCCGGTTGCTTACATTAGGGCAATTAAGGACTCGGTTTCTTACATTAGGGCAATTAAGGACATGTATGATGGGGTTAAGACTCGGGTTAGGACATTGGGAGGCGACTCGGAGCAATTTCTGGTTGTTATGGGGTTGCACCAAGGATCTGCGCTCAGCCCATTTTTATTTGCCCTGGTGATGGACGCACTGACGCACCATATTCAAGGGGAGGTGCCATGGTGTATGTTATTCGCTGACGACATAGTTTTGATTGATGAGACGCGAGGCGGCGTTAACGAGAGGCTGGAGGTTTGGAGATAGGCCCTTGAGTCTAAGGGTTTCAAGTTTAGCAGGATTAAGACAAAATACCTGGAGTGCAAGTTCAGCGCCAAGTCGAGGGAACTGGGCGTGGACGTGACGCTTGAATCATAGGTCATCTCCAAGAGAAGCAGTTTCAAGTATCTTGGGTCGATTATTCAGGGGGATGGGGATATCGACGAGGATGTCGCGCATCGTATAGGGGTGGGGTGGATGAAGTGGAGGTTAGCATCTGGAGTCCTATGTGACAAAAAGGTGCCACTGATGCTCAAAGTTAAGTTCTATAGAGCGGTGGTTAGACCAGCCATGTTGTATGGGGCAGAGTGTTGGCCGGTTAAGAGCTCTCATATCCAAAAGATGAAAGTAGCAGAAATGAGCATGTTGAGGTGGATGTACGGACACACTAGGATGGATAAGATTAGGAATGAAGATATTCGGGAGAAGGTGGGTGTGGCCCCGATGGATGACAAGATGCGGGAAGCTAGGCTCTGATGGTTCGAGCACGTGCGGAGGAGAAGTCCGAATGCCCCAGTAAGGAGATGTGAGCGGTTGGCTTTGACGAGTATGAGAAGAGGTAGATGGCGGCCCAAGAAGTATTGAGGGGAGGTGATCGGGCAAGACATGGCGAGGCTTCAGATTTCCGATGACATGGCCCTTGATAGGAAGGTGTGGAGGTCTAGCATTAGGGTTGTAGGCTAGGAGGTAGTGGAGCTCTTTTCTACTTCGTACTGGGTGAGAGGCTAGTCTGATAGGGTTGTGTCCTAGAGTGCTAGTGGCTATTATTGTGTCCATACTTTTCTTTCACTTTTCATAGTACCGAGCCTTTCTTACATGTTACTATTATTGTTTTTCATCTATCTTCTGGTACTTATGATGCTGTTATTATTTCTATGATTTCTGTTGTTGGTACTTATATTTTGTCTTTTTCGTCTGTTTGAGCCGAGAGTCTATCAGAAACAGCCCCTCTACCCCTTGGGGTTGGGGTAAGGTCTGCGTACATTCTACCCTCCCCAGACCCCATTTGTGAGATTTTATTGGGTTGTTGTTGTTGTTGTATATCTGTTGTTTAGTGTTGATCCTGAAATTCGATCTTCTTACCTCTTTACCATCAGAAGCTTATTAGTTTTGGAGGCTTACTTCCTTTCTTTATACTTGTTGCACAATTTTTTTGAAATTTTATACCAAGAAAGAATTATGGAGCCCCATGTGCAGCATAACATGTATAGTTGACGGGTAAAGATTTGTTCACTGCTTACATCATGCAGTCACTAATTGCTACCAATTTACATTCATTGCAGTGTTAAGTGATCCTGATAAGAGACTTGAGTATGATTTAAACGGAAACTATGAGATAAATGATTATACCTTGCCAGTAAGGACTTTCACGCTTCCATCTTGTTAATTTCCCTTGTTGAGTTCTGATGGTTTGACATTGAGATTCTGACTTCTTGGTGTTCTGATACAGGAATATCTATCCAGATTCAAAGGGATGATACTTACCTCTAATGGGCTTGGTATGAGTTCAGTCTGGTGAGTGTTTGGTTCAGATTACTAATTGGAATTGTTCAATTGGCTTTAAAAATCTGACCCTGAAGGAAAAGAAACTTAGTGTGGTTTGTAAAGGACAATATTCTGTCATTCTGTGACTAATTTTTTCTTCTCTTATATAGAAGCTGATAAGAATGGACCTTGGGCCTAACTCAACCCCAAAAGCTAGCTTGTAAGGTGAGGATTTCCCAAGCCATATAAGGAGACCAAGGACCTCAAATCCCTCCGATGTGGGACAACTCAACACCCCCCTCACGCCCAGGCCTCTGGAGCGTGGACAACATAAATGGGGGCCCAACATCGGTAACAATAATTGGGATGGGCTTGGCTCTGATACCATGATAAGAATGGACCTTGGGCCTAACTCAACCCCAAAAGCTAGCTTGTAAGGTGAGGATTGCCCAAGCCATATAAGGAGACCAAGGACCTCAAATCCCTCCGATGTGGGACAACTCAACAGAAGCAATATGAACATTTTCTTTAGGGGGAATGGGGAGGGGTATTAGATGAATTTTCATCAGTGTTGAATTTAGAAGTTTTCTTCAATTAATGTCTGGTATGATCCTATCAATTTTCACAAGGCATTAAGCTGTTGTAGCATGTCCGAAAATTTTCTCCTAGGTTGTGAAGATTCTGAAGGTGTAGAAAGTGTCAGACACATGATTACGCGCATAATTTTCCTCGTCTTTCTATGTGCATGTGAAACAGAGTTACCAGCACAGAGGAGAAGTCATCCATATAGAAGACCACATTCTCTCTCCGAGTTATTAGATTTGTCTGATTGTCCTGTCTTTAACAGCATCATAGTGTTTCTAAATAGGAATTTGGAAAGAGTTAGCGAGGACTATTTAACAAAAACTTGAGCATTTGACTGACTTCTGATGCTCTTTTGTTTGGTTCAAAGTTGCTTGCTTATTTTGATTTCTGAAAAGATTGTATATTTTACTGTACACTTTTAGAAATAGTAGATAGTTGAGCAATTTTCGGCTTAAGACAACTTGTAACAAACCCTAAATTCATTGTTAATTCATGCTGTAGCATCATCTCGCCAGCAGCTTTGCTGTTGATCTGCTAATGCTTTTAAACAGAGAACAGATTCTAAATCCTTTGTTACTTTCATGTCAACATTCTAATAGCGAAATCCTTTATTACTTTCATGTCAACATTCTAATAGCGAATCAACCATGCAGGTCAGAGCAATTAACAGAATTTAACAAGTTGATGGACAAATGAAAGAAGGTGGTCATTCTTTTTCTCTTCACACCCATTGTCTTTCCTATAGTACCTCGCTTACCCCTCACGGATCTTAATGGTTGTAACATTGTGTTATTGACAAGATTTTATGTGCTAAAGTTGAATATTCATAATCTCGCATAAAGGTTTTCCAGGGCAACCATGCTGTATGTAACTGGCAGGATATCTGTACTCAACTTTTGCAGTTATCATGATTTGGTATTTACTGTATGCCCTTTAGACTTATTGTAAAATATAGATTCTGTAACAAGTGTATTGGAAGATAGGATTGCCAATTTCTTCCTTTCCTCAAGGTTGTATCAATTCACATGGTTATATATTGATGCTGACTGAACTTACAGATTGACAAAATTTGATATCAGAAGCTACATTCTTAGTATATATATATGATGTTTCATTATTATCCCTTTGTCACAGATAATATGCATTATTTAATTGTTCTCTCCCTTTGGACCTGCAGACAATTACTAGTAATAAGACAAGTAGTTACAAATTTTTTTGATGTTATGCTTACAAATGGATAACTACTGTACATACTTTCTGTCCTTACTCTTAATTAGCGGACATAGATTTGGTTGAAACTTGAAAAAGGAGTTTTAGAATATGTTTGAAATTGTGTTTGGACATGTGCTTTACTTGAAAAAAAAAACTAAAATTTTGTAACGGGAAGAAAAAATTTCACGCAAAAACTGGTTTGCTGACCAGACTTTGAGTGCTGTACAGGAAACTATAAACTTCTACGTCACGTTGTTTTCATGTAAGACTTGTTAAATTTAGTCACAAATTCCCCTAGTATATTTAAGTTAGGACTACCATGTTCTTATTATAAACTCAACGGTAGGTAAAATTTCTGTAGTTGCAAAATTTGACCTAAGATTTGCCTTTAGTTTCTTTAATCGCTTTATTATCCCTTGAAAAGATGAAGCGACATGGATAGTGAAAATTCATAAATGTGATTTTAATATTTGTGATTAAGACTTTATATTGTTGTAGCAGTAATGCAATATGCGTGGATTCCATCAAGGCATGACATCATTGTATTGTCTCTTCCATGCTTGTTTTGTTTGAACTAAATAAACTATTCCCTTATTACTAATAAAATACACACATATTCATCCAAAGTTTCATCATCATTTTCAGGGTCAAGTCTAAACTAAATTGCATCTTAAGATATATATTGATTCTTCTTGAATCTTTTCCACTGTATGTGATGCCACTATTCTTTTAATATTAATGTAATTAATTAATTATCAGTATAAGAAGGTTTATTTGTACGAGTTGGTGCCTGTTGAATTTTGCCCCTCTTGTGCACGCAAATATGTCATACTCATAATTACTTACATAAATAGTTAAAGAATAGTGATGTTGATGTACTAACAAAAAAAAAGAATCAGAGAGTCAGTAAACCACAGAAAAAAAAAAGCATACAACACATGAAGAGACAGACCCCTATAAGGTTAAATTAATGAAGGTGTAACATTTTTGTTTATTCATATCATTAATTGGCTCTTGAGAGAATTTAAGAGTAAACATAGGTGTTAAATTGTGAATTAACAAAAATTTCTTTTCTGGGTTAGCCATACTATCCAGATTTGCCAGCCGAGTAGGGAAAAATCAATAGGTCAAAAGCAAAGTCAAGTTCAAGGACTGATTCAAACACGAGAAGATAGGTAATAATGCATAGATTGAATTCCAACGTCCTATACCTTAAATCATGTATTTGATCTCCATTATCGGAATAATAAGGGGTCATCTGATTTGGTGTATAAGAATATTATTGAATGGGGTACATTAGTAATGTTGAGATTCGTAATGTTAAGATTAATTGTGTTAGGATTAGTTATCTTATTTCGACTGTTTGATTTGGTGTATTAAAAGGTTTTGAAAGGACGATTCTATCTTTATATATACTTATCTATGTAATTAAAAATTATGGTACTAATGTCATGGTTTGTTATGTATAAAAATAGTACTATTGAATAAGGTGTATAACTATAGGTTGAAAAACAATATCAAACAAAGTACTTAACAATATCAAAATGTTATAAATAGAATTGTATTTATGGTGAATGTCTATATTTAGAGAGATTCTAGGGTTCATTGCTTGGTGGCTAAGTCACCCTCTCCCTATAAATAGAGGGTTCTATTCCATTGTAATTCATCCCATATCAATAAGAATTCTCTCTCTCTACTTTTCTCTGCAATACTCTTCTTCTTCATTTATTGTTTTATAACACGTAATCAGCACGAAACTCTAACCAATTGAGTAGAAGCTTTGGGACTGAGCATAATGATTGACAATTATTCCATAAACTTCCTTCATGATTAAATTTCGGATTTAAAGTAAGTACTTTACTTTATTTTTCTCTTTTAAATTCTTGAAATTCTATAATTTGATTTTATATACAAGCAAAGACAACAAAGTTTGATTATAACTCTAATGGAGTTTGTAAGAAATTATAACCACCTGAAGTGGTAAAATTTATATGCCTTGCCATGATCAAATTCGGGTATAATTGTGGGCAAAGAATTGAAAACCCGTCCCATTGAATTTGCTCCATTCTCATTCCCTTAAGAGAATGTGATAGCAATATGTAATAAGTCTGAAAGAAGACAAAATTATTACCATAAAGGTATCAATGGATGTGGACGTGGTAATAGACGAAATTATAATCGTCATATCGTGGTAATGAGAATAATAAGGATTCTCAAAATAAGCCTTCACTCTATGAAGTTAATGTTTGTCATCGATTTGACATAAGATTTCGTAAAGCACATAGAGATGATTATGGTCAATTCATGATGTGAATGTGACAACATCTGATTTATGAATACATATTCATTACTGGAAGAATATGAACGTGCTAGTGGTAGTGAATATACCATGCACTCACCTCTAGAAGGAGGTTTAAGATGATATAAGAAAATAATGTCATTATTATGGTATGAATAGTGATTGGTCATGTACCTATTGTACGCCAAAATATTTTGGCAATGTGATTATTAAAGGACAACAATAATGCAAGAAACATATCTTGCATATAATTTTGACCATGACCATAATGGTATAACTTTCTCCTTGGAAGACATATATGACCATATCGATATCGATGAATATGTGGTAGTACAAAATTAATTGAGAGCTCTGGAAGAGCCAATTATCACTATTTTGGAGAAATAAAATTTATTATCAATAAGATGTTGTAGTAAGTCTCAAAGAAACTTATTTATTTATTAAAGTATTCGCGAAAGCAATTGGTTATATTGAGACTATAAATAAAGGAAAGATTTAATATCTTCTATTACTACAACTTGTAGCGGGGTAATATATATGTGAAAAATTACCCGCTTTATTCTCCAGTTTGTACTACACAAACAAAAGAATGCCATAATAAAGAGAAGTTTACTGATATAAAAACCCATATCATAATAAACTTGGAGTTTATTGATAATTGCACACGTCATGGTGTAAATCTGAAGTTTATCAATATTGATAATTTATTCAGTTGGCATAATTGGTTTAGCCATATCAATTTAAGTATGATGTGCAAAAATAATAGATAATTCACATGGGTAAATATTAAAGAACTAGAAAGTTCTTTATGAATTCTCTTATATTGCTTGTTCTCATTAATTAATTGACCAACTAAAATTGGGATTGAATCCCATGAATGCTGGAAATATCAAAGGTGAATATGGGCCCATTCACCTGCCATGCATACCACATAAGATGCATCTATGAGATGGTTACATGTGCGATTATTAATAACCCGCAACATGGTGTTTTGCGAGGTAACTTGCTCAATAATTTAATTTCGAGCATAATTTCTAGATTTTCTATTCAAGAAGTTCATCTTGATAAGTTGGTTTACATCACAGTTGGTTTAGCAAAATAATTTATTAAGTGCCTCTACTTAATAGCTAAACAATTGCTTATGAGAACAAAGTTATCTATATCAGTTTGATATACGTTATATACCAAAGTATATTATTTTCTCCCATCACAAGTGGTTCAGGGTCACGAACCAAATAATTTCATCTTATTATTATTGATGTGCAGTGTATATTTTGATTAACACCATAACGCACAAAGGTGGATTCTCAAAGTTGAGGTAACAAGTTAGTTTTTCTAACATAAGAGGGAGACATGATAAACAGTTGAGAAAAAGTTACGTGGAATGAACTATCATTTGTACATCTAGATCCTCGAATAAGATAATATGAACTTGATATTCATAAAAGGATAATTCATTTGCAATATATTGCAAAGCATGCCAGATGCATTTGCTGGCCCAAAGAAAGTAACTATATTCTCATTGTAAATGCTCCTATTAAGTCCTAGAAGGACAAAGTCTATGGTACGTTTAAAGCATATAGACAAATCAGTTTCAAATAAACTTCTTGATAAAGAAGATGAGCAAATAATCTAAATTAAATGATCATAACAAAGGAGGCAAGTGATCTAGAAGATCACATGACATAACACTTCATAAAATCTCAGGAGAGATTCAGGTACCTGAAAATATAAATGAAGGGATCTCTATGTTATGTCTTTATGAAAAATAAGGAGGTTGGAACCGATATAAAATGTTTGTCGACGACATCTATAATAGCGCTAGATCTTAAGTCCAAAGAAACAATTCAAGTAAAATTGGTTTCATATGAAAGACATATAGTTTTGGACCTGCAATTTAAACACTTGAAAGTATAAAGTCAATGGTATGTGCAATCAGTTTTTAATATCTTATATGTCTAGCATGACATGAAAACTTGATATGCATCTAAAGTCTATTATATGGCTTATATGACTTAACAATCCCTGAATGATTTAAATTGCTTAAAGCATATAGAATTCATAGTCATGCAGTACTACATCCTCAGTGCAATTTGTGCACAAATGTATCTTGCTATAACTATATGCATGAT